CAAGAGTCCAAAGTACCAGCAACAATAATCAAAACCATATGCTATTGGCCAAGGGACAGATACACAGATCAAGGGAACAGGCAGATTACTGTATATAGAAATACACCCATGAACATATATGGTAATTGAGTTTCTTCCTTTGCAGCACTGGAGATTGAGCCCAGGGCCTTCACACTGAGCTATATCCCCAGCCTCCCCACATCCCTCCTTTTTGAGTCAGGGTCTTGCTAAACTGCCCATTTTGGGCTCAAACTCCTCCTGTCTCAGCCTCCCAGACTGCTGGGATTATAGGCATGCTTAACTGATTTTCTTCTTTTAAAATTTTTTATTAGTACATTTTACAGTACGTAATGACTATACTCATTATGGGGAGTTAGTACCTGTCCATAACATGTACTAATTCTTTTTCCATGCCCTCCCTCCCATCCATCCCCTCGCCCATTTAGTTTGAGGTTTGATGCCAATGGATTTAACTTTCTGAACTAAATAAAAGCTACATTACCTTTCACTCATATTTTAATTCTATAAAACTTGATCAATTTGATATTTAGAAAGATTTGGGACACTAGTCCAAAAAATAAATGCAAAGCTTGAAAAAAATGTGAATTGTTTCGTCTCTGTCCATTTTATTCCATTTACTGAAAATAAACATAACTGAAATAGGCTCCAAATTACCAAAGGAGTTCTTTTTGAGCCAAGTCATCCAGTGAACTCTTGAGATTCTCCACTTCATCTTGTGCTTGGAGACAACCAATTAATCAAGCTTTAGTCCTCGTTGGGAATGTTAAGACATTTGAAAGAGCTCAGCTGGTTCCACAGATAAGGAACTTTCCGAAAAGCATATGTCAAAAAGACCTTTCCTAACAGCTTAAGCAACAACTGGCATCTAGCTGGTTTCCTGCGGAGCCCTATCTGCCTTCCGTAGAGTCGCTGTTAGGCAAGTGTGGAGCATTTATTTGGTCCTGGATATCTTCCCGCTGGGTGAGTGCGGTTGAAACAATCACTTGTTTTGAATCAGTTGTCCATTCTTAAAGACTAGCCTGTGATTGCAGATGTATCTGAACTTTTTTTTTTTATTACTTTCATCAGGTCCTGGCTCAAGAAGTGGTTGAGAATAGTAATAATAATAAAATTCAGGGTTTTGTAGCCAAATAAAACCATAGAGCTATCCTGAGAATTCATTACTCTTCTCTGCTGTGCCATATAGTTACGATACAGCTGTCTGTTCTTCAGGCTTGGAACATCTCCCCCACCACTAAAACTGCCTCTGCCAGAAGCCGGGAGAGGGTAGGGAATAGAGAAACCCTTTCCTTAGTGTCTTTATAGCATAATCATATCTCACTCGGCATTCAACTGCAAAGTTATGATAAATCATACTACCCAACGTCACATACTTCTATCATTGAAATATAGTCGATCTATATTAGCAGATAACTCCTACAAAGAGGAAAAAAAAAACTCTCATTGGCTTATGGATTTAGTAACTTGTTTTGAGCCCTACACAATGATGGCCTATAAGTGCTCTCTGTACAGAGTGGGTGTTCCAAATTCTTGTTAATTATCTGTGATAAAAAAAAATGAGAAGAAAAAAAATCCACCCACAGAGCTATTTCAGTTGGAATTTGCTGAAGACATTTTGTAAAACCAACCTTGTTTTCAAAAATATGTTTTTATTATTGTTTTCATTTTAATTAAAAATCTTCCCTTTATACTTCAAGAGCTATGAATATATCTCAACTTTCCAAAACACCTTACAATTGTGGCATGAGGTCAAACCGCTGAAAAAGACAATGGAACAGCACGATGTGCAGAGGGGAAAAGTGCATGCATGTCTGGGCTTCTTCCTCTCAGGCTCCTTTGAGCTCCACCGAGAAGAAGCTGCCAATGGTGTACAAAGGTCTGCCCCTGGCTGCAAAAAGCTACACTATTCTGAGGACAAGGCTGCTAGAAGGCAACAAAGCCAGTGTACTTGCGAGTTGAACTCAGTTGTGAAAGAATAGCAGATTCCAGTCAGCAAGTTTCTAGTGGAGCATACTCAATCTGAATGAAATCAGGGTCAATGCATGCCTTTAGAAAGGGGCCTGCGCTGGGAGTGGGCAGAAGGCCAGAACCCACAATGCCACTCTTCCCATCTGAGCCCCACAGAGGCCTTAGTCTGTTCTGATGTCAGCAAGGAAACGTCTCCTTCTGCTCCACCAGTGACAGCTATAAAGAGGAGTAGAAGGGAAGGCAGAAGTCTGCATATATCCATCATTCCTCGAAAGCTAATCATAAGCCCAGCAACTGTCTTTATGCATGAAAGACAGAATGTTAACTAATAATCGGAACACTAAGGCAGAGTTACTCTGAATGATCTTTTTTCTGCCATTGTGATCATAGCCTTCGGGGCTGCGCCTGGATATGAAGCTGGTTGAGACCATGGTTGGGGTTGTGCATCCGGAAGAAATTGCTTTAAGTGAACACGTCTCCCAATAGCCCCTTCTGCAGTTAATGAAATCATTCCTGTCCTATCACTCAGAGTTCAAACCTCAGAGATGCACCAGAAACACTCCTATCACTTGCTGCATGTAATTGGCCAGTGTGGTCCATCTATTCCGTCCTTCTCCTGTATCCACTGTCTATCTGTATCCATTCCTTTTCACTCCTGTGACATTCTCTCATGCCCAAATATGGCCTTAGCCTTTTAACACTGCGCTTGTTCCCCTCTGAAAACTCATCTTCCTAACACCACCTTATCACGTCGCTCCTTTGCTCAGAGCTCTTCCGCAGCACAGGCCTGTATACAAACAGATAAAGGTCTAAATTCAACCGCGCATCCACAGGCTATAAAAATCTGACCCAGAGTTGCACTTCCAGTCTTATCTCCCCACATGAATTATGCCTTCTGCCCAGACGGGTTTCTTCACGGTCCCCAGAGCATCTGACTCATCGTCTCTCCCTTGCTTTCCCGAGGCCATGGCCCCTGCCCGGAAGGCCCCTGCTTGCAGTATTTAGTCACGAGCTTTGCATTCTTAATTAACTTCTCTGGCTGTAGCTCTTGCCTCTTGGTTAAATATCATTCTTAATACTAGGCCAGTCCTACAATCTGTGCTTTCAAGAACTTCTTCCTTAGATGTGTGTGGAGCTTTGCCTTTTAGTTTCATTGTTTGAAACTGTGGCAGAAAATCATGGAATCCAAGCTGTAGTCAGTCACTGACCTAACCTGCTGGTCCATACATTCTGGAAATCATTCTGGATTCTATATGATAAATGGCTTCTAGATACTATACAATTTAATCTTAGGTGAAAGTAGGAAATATGGATTATTCTGGGCCTTGTTTTCTGACCTTTCAAATGGGAAGAATGTCTTCCCATTGTTTGGGGTGGGGGCTAGCGGTGGGGTTCAAAATGAGGAAGCAAGCAAACATATGAAAGCGGTTTTTAAAATCGTGTTTTACACATATAATAAAAACAGTCATGACTGTTATTCTTTAAGATTTGCTCTTACCGGGGTCATACAGCTGAGCTAGTCTACAGCGCAGTGGGGCATGGTGCAGCCCTCCTGCCTTCCAGGTCTGTCCTCAGGAAGTGGCAGTGAGGTGAGGCTCTTGCCCGGTGGGCTGATCTCTCTCTCTCTGAGGAAGGGCTACTAGGGATTGACCCTACAGGTTTTGCACTGAACTACATCTCCAGCTTTGCTGTTTTGGTTTTTTTTTTTTGACCCAAGGTCTTGCTAAATCACTAAATGTCCCTGGCTGAGCCTCAACTTGCAAGCTTCCTGTTTCAGCCTCCCAGAGTACAGAACTGAGATTTCAGGCATACACCACAGCGCCCAATTTGAAACAATCTCTTAGGAAAGGAATTTGGCCACATGTCACAAGGGCCTTTAAATGTGTTACTTCCCTATGACCCAGTGATTTGTGCACTAGGAATTTGCCTTAAGGAAATACACAGAAACACAGATGAAGAATTTAAGTAATTAAGTCCACAGCACATTTACTTATACTTGATAGAGAGAAAAAAAAAATACTGCAAACACCCTGAATGTCCAAAAATAGGGATTGGTTAAATAACTTGTAAGATATTCCCAGAATAATAAATTATGAAACTATGAAGATTTTTCTTTTAACAGAGTTTTTAAGGACATGAGGAATGTTTGATGTAATACTGAACTGAAAAAGAAGTGGATCATAAAATTATACATTATAGTATCAACTATGTTTTATTTTTGTTTATTTGTTCTGTTTTTTGAGACAGGGTCTCACTATGTAGTTCAGGTTGGTCTTGAACTTATTATGTAACCCAGTCAGGCCTCAAACTCACAGCAATCCTCCTGCCTCAGCCTCCCCAGTGCTGGGATTACAGGCATACACCACCGCACCCTGCCTCAACTATGTTTTTAAAAATTGTGCTTGGAAAAATCTACAGGGAAAGAGGAAAATATTAATAGTGCTTTTTTTTCTGGGCAGCAGCATTTTTGTTTTGCCTTCCTTTTGCTTCTTTCGTTCTTTTTTTTTTTTTTTTTTTTTTTTTTTTTTTTTTTTTTTTTTTTTTTTTTTTTTTTTTTTTTTTGGTTGCTTCTTTCGTTCTTGAGGTTGATCTAAGGCCTGCACACTGAGCTATATCCCTAGTCCTTTTAAATTTTTTATTTTGAGACAGGGTCTTGCTAAGTCACTAAGTTGCCCAGGCTGGGATAGAACTTTCCATCCTTTTGCCTCAGTCTGTCTTCCTTTGTAATTTAAAAAAAAAATTCTGCCTCAAATTTGGGCATAGTCCCAAGCCAAGCCTCCCAGGAAGCAGCACTTTTCCAGTAAGCTTCATGGGAAGCAATTTTTCTTTTTTCTTTTTGTTTTTTTCCCCCTGCTATCGGGAATTGAATTCATGACCTCGAGCTTGCCAGGCAGGCCCTGTGCCGCTGAACTAAATCGCCAGCCTCCTGGGAAGCAATCTTGCTTCACCACCAAATCAGTCCAGATACTGCTACAGCTTTAAGCTCTGCATTTGTCGTTGATCTTCTGATTTGCATATTCACAAGAACCTGGAGAGTGCCTAGAGAACGCACTGGGGAGCCAAAGATGTCGCCCAAGACTGGTCTAGGTCTAAGCTCTCTGTGACGTTAGCAACATCTCTGCTCCTCTGCGAAGCTCTCAGGTGACACTCGGAGTTCCTCGGAAGACAGGCTGCCCCACGGGTGTCGTTCCGTGCCTCCCATCTCCCTCCCTAACGTTTGCAGAACCACGGGCGGGAACACAAGAGTCTGCTTAAATACACACTTAAAAATACACATTTGTAAGTTTAAGCAGGTGTCTAAATATTTTAAAGTTATGTCAAGTCCACCTTGCTGCGAACGGCTTATTGAACCTTCCTACCTTCACAAATACACCTTCTCCAGGTCCTGGAAGGCCAGTTGCAAACCTGCCATTATCCAAGTCCTGAGAGTTCCAGGGGGATTGTCAACGGTAGGGGGGACAGCTTGGCCCTGAGCCTCCAGAACCCACTTCCGGGGACTCCGGCACACATGTGTGGGCCCCCCAGTCATCCACAGCCCATGGGTAAGTGCCCCTGGGCTCTCTGGGGCATGAAAATTGCCCCAGATAGAACTTTTACCTTCTGGGGTTTACCTTCTGGGGTTCAGACTTGGAGAAGGGGTCTGTGCAGGCAGCACAGGCAGAGGGCAGGTCCGGTTTCCAGGTCCCTGGAGCAGGATCTAGAAGGCGTGAGCCTCCTTCCTCAGATTTCTGGCCGTGTGGGAAGGAACACACTGTCTGCCTCCTCTCTACCTGCTGCGCCCTTGCGAGGTGTTGCTGAAGAACTACCAGTGGCTTTCTCTTTCCTTCCTTCCTTCCTTTTTCTTCTTCCTTCCTTCTTCTCTTCCCCCATTTCTTTTTTCTCTCTCTCTTCCTCCCTCCCTAACCCCTCTACTTCCCCCCTCGCTTTTCACAGTGCTGGGGATCAAACCCAGGGCCTTGTGCAAGCTAGGTAAGTGCCATACCACCGAACTAACTCCCAGCCTTTTACTTTCTTTGTTTGCTTCTTATTTCTGAGACAGGGTCTCCCTGTGTAGTTTAGGCTGGGCTTTTGAACTCACAATGGAACCCAGGCTGGCCTCCAATGCAAGGCGATCCTCCTGCCTCAGCAGTCTGAGTGCTGGGATTACAGGAGTGTGCCACCATGCCTGGTGGCTACATTTTCTTTGAACAAATTTTTGACAACTTACCAAGTTTTCCTTGTGGCAAGTTTTGTCAAGGACTTTGTCCTTGTGTCTTTAGATTATCCTGGCAAATACATAAAATTACGAAGTAGATTTTGCTTACTTTCATCTATATGCATTTCAATAGCGCATATATTGAGAGAGATACTTTTGTTGCTCAAAGCAAAAATATTTTTCTTAAGAGTAATTTATGCTCACTGTAAAAAATGCAGACATTTCTTAAAAGATATAAGTATGAATGCAAAAATACCTATAATCTCACCTTTTTATCTTTTTTTTTTTTTTTTTGGTCTTTTTGAGACAGGGTCTCGTTATGCAGTGCAGGCTGGCCCTGAGCTCACTTTGTAGCCCAGGCTGGTCTCAAACTCACAACAATCCTCCTGCCTCAGCCTCCCAAGTGCTGGTATTACAGGTGTGTGCCACCATGCCCGGTTTCACCTTTTCAGAAAGAACTTCAATTTATATTTTGGGATACATTCTTCTAAAATTTTTTATAGGGACACATACACACACTTTTGTCTTTATAAAAAACGAGATGATTCTGTCCATATAGTTTTATAATTTTTATTTCCTTTTAACAATATATGATGGGTAATTTTTCAATTCAACAAATATATATCTGAAGGGGCCAGGGATATAGCTCAGCAGCACAAGTGCCTGTCTGACAAGCACAGGGTCCTGAGTTTGATTCTCGGTACCAAAAACAAAACAAAACAAAATATATATCTGCATCATAGTTCTTATTAGCTATAGAATTTTCTACTGTATTTGTTCATTTACTTAATAAATAAATTTACTTACTAAATAAATAGCCAAACATGGTGGTACATGCCTGTAATTCCAGTGCTCTGAGAGGCTGAGGGAGGAGGATCATAAATTTGAGCCTAACTTGGCAACTTAGCAAGCAACTTAGTGAGATCCTATCTGAAAATGAAAAAAAGAAAAAAAAGGGCTAGGATGTCGCTTAATGTGAAGGCTCTGGGTTCAGTCCCAAGTACTGAAAAAATATTCATATATCACTCATTTCCCCCAAAATAAGACCTAAAAAATAAGCCCGAGCGTGATTTCTCAGGATGCTCATAATATAAGCCCTAACCTGAAAATAACCCCTAGTTAAGACTGTATCCAGAAAGACATGTTTAGTATTTCTACTGCAACACAGCACATGAAGGACATAGTGATTATAAAATAATATTAATATATAATTAAATAGAAATAATATTATTGACATTAACCCTTAAAATACACGATAATATAAATTATAATTAAGTGCTTGTAAATACCCAAGCAGGCACCTTGGACAAGAGGTGACCACCTACATAAACAGATGAACTTGAGACTTCTTGCGCAGTGACCAGCTGGAGTACAGATACAACGCACCGATAACCTGCACACTTAATAATGGACAGACACGGCTGTGTCTAGTAAGAATCTTCGTGTGTTGTGTGCTGTAATGGACGTACTTCATGCACTTGTGTGAAATAAAAAAACATTTTCTGAATTTTGGTGCCTGCAATTTTTTGTAACCTCTGTGCGGTCTGTCATTCTCAACTGTCATCATTTTTGTTGCTACTCCTGTCTTATAAGTCTCCATTAACACTTGGCATAACAGAAACTCTGTGAAGCCCAGCCTGTCAAAGTTGCGACTTAGTGAGCAATTCGTGGGATAAAGTCACTGACAGCTGTGTTGCCAACGCACTGCAAGCAGGCTACATGAAAAAGAAGTGCGCATTCAGGGAGGGCGCTACTGCTGATGTGAGGGGCTGGGGCCAATGGTTCTACAGGAAATGAGGCAGCAAGAAATTCAGGTTGGAGTTCAGGGTTTGGAAGGTTATGATGATGTTCTAGAACAGTGATAGCGGACCTTTGAGAGACGCCCGCTGGAACTGCAACTCAGAACCCACTCATTTATCACAAAGGGGCAACACTGCCATGGAACCTGAATACTGAGGTTTTAGTTCAGAAAAAACAACTCACACATTACCATTTTTTAAGAAAAA